CGTGTTTGGGGGCCAAAGGCTGCCGAACTGCTCTTTAATCATATCCATTTGTTTGGCGCACAACTGTTTGTTCACATTAATCATATAGATCTTTGTGAAGCCATAGTTTAACGAGAATATGGGTATCAATCGGAACGCGTGTAGAATAAAACCGTCCTCTTGTGGTACGTTAGTGAAAGTGTAAAGCAAGTAAAGGCCCGAATAAATAGCATTCACGATGAAACCAAACACCAAATAAAACACCAGTAATAGTGAGAAACCGATTGGCGATGAGTTGAACCAAAAGGACAGACAATAGGCTATGGATATCGACGACAAACCAAATGCCAGTAACAATAGGAAGAAAGCGGTGCCCGACTGCCAGCCCTTGAAGAACGCTTGGTTTACGTCAAAAATATAGACCACAAGTGATAATAGAGTGATGACTAACAAGTGGTTCAATATATCAAACAAGTAGTTTGACAGCCAATACACGGCCGAAGACAGACCAGTCATCAGTTGCAGGCCTTTGGACTTCGAGACCCTCTCAATGATCGGGAATATGAGGTAAGAGGCGGCCAAAAATGGTAACGTAATCGGCATTAAGAGTACACACGAGACGGCGGCGCCCATCATACTGCTCCTCAAAGCTTCTTGATACACTTTGACCGCACCGGTGCCGGCGAAGACCAGATCTTTGAGCGGTTCTATAATTGTGGTGATCGTGAAGTCCTTAAGTTTGAGCACCGATTGGCGGACGAGTGACTCATACATCAAGTTTATGGACAGCGGGAGTGAATGAGTGGACTCGTAGTTAAACCATATCTGGGGGCTAAGAGTACTGGACGTGTTGCTGACGGCGCCGCCCAACACATACTTCAATACGTATTGCTCAACGTCCCGACTCTTTTCCAGCAGCCAATCCTTTGGATCAGTTGTTTTGGACAATTGGTTTGCGGTCACGCCGTGTCTCTCAGCGTTCGGTATGTAGTGATTGGCGCCGAAGTCGTGAGTCGTTGGGTCCAAGTCGTGGTAGAATCCAATCGTACGGCCGTATAGTTCTTGGAGATCGAGTGTTATTGACTTAGACTTCTCAGTGGTTACAGATCTGACACTATTGTCGGCCAGAAAGACAAGTATGAAGAGTACGGCCGGAATCACGATCTGGAACAACAACATCGCCCAATGTCTGCGACTGTAATGGAATCGCTTCACCAGAAGACCCAATACTGACATTTGGATCAGTTTAAAGCCGTCCTCATTCTTGTACTGCTTCTCTGTCTTCTCCTGCGAAGCCTTCTTTCCGTTGTCCACCTCTTCATAGGAACCGACTTTGAGGAACACGTCTTCCATTGTGGTCACAGTTATGCCAAATGAGTTGAATCCGAGCTCTTGTTTACGGCTCTCGAGTTCGTCAAAGAGTTTCGGGAATATATTTTTGTCGGTCTGT